TAATACATAAATATTACTTTGATGATTTTTTTTAAAATTGAGTGGGGGTGCCATATGGAACTCTTACCCAAACAAGCAGATACGTAACAATACTAATAAAAGTCAAAATTTAGGAGCATGATGTTAATAGACATACAAGACTCTAATATCGATCTATCTGCGTTATGTCTGAGAATAATATCACCCAAAGAATACGCCAAAAGACATAAAATCAGAATAATCATAAACAAGTTCCAACAATTTTATGTTGATGATTCCTCCTACCCCACAACTTTGGAAGCTACTGTGATTCACCAACTTTAATGATACTAACTGTCGTATCATTTTTATTGTATCTTGCTGTAAGGTATGTTTGTGTTAGCATCCATCACCCAGAGTTGGCTGACTCGATTACCATGAGTTTTGGTATGGTAGCCGGAAACTATCCAATCGGACACAAGAACGATATTGTTTTAGGATCTTTGCCCGAGAAGGAAGATAGAAAATACCTTAACATAGGGCACATTTCTAATATTTATAGACTTTTGGCTTTGAATTTCAAGACACAAGTACTTAATCAGTTAAATGAGTCAATTATTATATTCCACAAAACAGGTTATGCAATTAGCATCTCATGAGGTTATCCATATTTAATAAATAAAAAAGAAAGAAGTAAGGAAACATGATCTAACATTTTCTTTTATATAGTTTTTGCTTCCTCGATGAGTACCCTCGGCTGGTATTAAATAAAACAGAATAATTACAAGTGTTCTTGAAACATACCTGTTTCACCATGGCATTCATTCGAAACTCCACTACAGTTACAAGGAACGCAGTTCATAAATCTACCACCTCCACTGATATTTCTAGTGTACCCTTGGCTGCAAGATTCACAGAACTGGCCAGTATAACCACGTGGACATGAACAGTTTTCCACCCAACTGGCGATCTCCCCTTTTGTTGAAAGTCGGGCGGACTCTAATCTCACATCGTATAAGTATGTTTTTCCTGTAAAAAACACGAATAAAGTCAAAATTAATAATTAACTAGCTTAAGATGTATGACATTTCTCTCGTTATACTGCCGTTTTGCTATTATATTTTATATGTTAAATTTAACTAACTTTATTATATTAGCATGTTTTTCAAAGCTTGTTTTTATTGAAAAGGGAAAACCTTATAGAGGTTCATGTTTTCAAAAGAGAGCATAGTATTGTTACGACAGCGGGGGTCACGTGACGCTAGTAACACGTC